TGTTTCTGATTGGTTCCTCAACCAAAACTTGCGTTAAAATCCAAGAATAGGAGTTGTCTGTGTATATGTCTGTAATAGAACATGAAAAAAACATTTAAATCCAAAAATTATGGTGAAGTCAGGAGGCACAGTAACAAGGGAAAACTGACTTCATGCCACAGAAGTGGTTAGAAAAATGCTTGCACCCACAAACAAGAAAAGTGAGTTTCAGTATTGCACTTATCAGATATTCAATCTCAAATTGCTGAGGCTTACACAAGGAAATGTTATTAATATCAGAAGATCTTAGTATAGGACAAACAAATGGTGGTTATCGCAGCATTTTCTTCTAATGTTTCTGTGTGGGCTGTGGGAAATTACTTGGCTTGCTTCTTAATAGAGTTGTAATCACTGTACTATGCAGTATTATTTTCAGTAGTCTCAGGACATATACACTAAGCAATAGGGCAAGTGTCATATAAGCCCCTAATATTGAAATCAGGACTTACACATGCACAAACTTTCTGCATGGAAATAATTTTTACCATAATATCTGCCAACTTAGATCACAAAGATGAAAAATCTAAACCAAATGTTGACCCTCCTGTCCTCTTTCACCTATTTGAAAATGCATTTGATGTTTATTCCTTGAAATCTGAGAACTTGTGTATTACAATTTAGGGTTTTTTCCCCCTCAAGAATTATTCCAAGAAGCTGTCTTGTCTACTTATTCTGTTTAGAAAATTCTTCCTTTGTCTTCACATGAGATATATAATTAAAATCGTTAATAATTGTGATAATTTAAAGATGTGATAGTTCAACTCCTTTTGAAGAAGATGAACTGTTCACTCTGTCCCATCTCAAATTCAATTAAACTATCATCTCTGAATCTGTAACTTCCTAGCAATTTCATACAGTTACACTACTTCTAATTACATACCCTTAAGGTAGTATAGTATCACTGTATGCTGTTAAACAGCTGCTGTGTTTCTCCCTAGAAGTGGCTGCATTTCGTTAAAGCAATGCAGTGTTTGTGTTTATATAAACAATAGTAGGGCTGAATCTTAACGATATAACTCCTATATGTAAACAGCAGTTTTGTCTGAATAAGAGTACTAGAGAGCCAGGCTCATAATTTGTCAAGTAGTACTCTGTGTCCTTCAGGATATAAGTGTTATAGAAATGTCATTTAATATTTAATTTGTTTCAAACTTTACTTTCTCTTCTGCTGGGTTCTAACTCATTTTTTAAATGTAAATTTAGGTGCTTTACCTGCTTCACTCCAACTTTGTGTTTGGGTGATTTCTGAGGATGGCCTTGCAAGGGGGAAGAGCTGGCTTTGTTGTGCTTTCCACTGTGGTGATAGGGGCTACAGAAATCTTACTCTGATTAGAGTGTGTATTGTAATGGAAGGAAAAGCTATGGAAATAAGACCTTTATCCAAGAATTTACCCTACTTACAGGCCTAGAATTGGCTGGCAACTGACCACATTCCATGTGAATGCACAGCTCACATCCCTCTAGTCTTGCCCAACATAGATGTGAAACAGCTAAGTTCCAGGAACAGTAAGACATTTCCAGATGAGAGCTGAAGGAACTGTAAACAACAAGGAAAAAAAGCAACAGACAGCCATCCTTTTCACTAGGGTTTCAATGTAAACAAGCTGTGGTGAGATACAAGACCTGCTTCACAATTTAAATAGGAAAATCCAATTCCAGGATTTTGAAATGGATTTATCACTTCCCTGGGCACATGTGATCCCTTATTTTAATGTAAGAGCACTTCAATAGTTTTCACCTTAGCCAGTTTATACATTACCATTGGATACACACTGCATAGCTTTGAAACAGATTGTAAGACATAAAATAAAAAAAAATTAGACTTTGAATCAGTTTCTTAGCAGGAATTATTTATTATATAAAAACACCCAGAAAGAAACACTTTATTATTCAGTATGAACAACCCATAGGCATCAAAACCCAGCCAAGGTTCAGATCTCCTTGTGGCTGGTTATAAATGACAAGAAATAAATGATAAAAGCATCCTGACTAACAATACCTGGCCAATCTTCAGCTACCCAGTCTCAGTAAGGAATGTAAAAAGATTTTCCTAGATCCAAAACTAAACTCGGGGGCATGTTTTGCCTTCAAAGTGCCAAAATTTAGTTTTAACATCTACAACCCATGGTTCCATATCTTACTGGGGCAACTCAGTGAGTTGACATGGGTTTTACTTTGACCTCTATTACAGCAGTCTCTTTGGAACCCCACGCTAATTATGTACAGTGTTTCAATAAAGGGAAAATATTCTACTACGGAGCAACTATACTCAGTATGATAGGAAAGAAGCTAGTTTTCTAAAGATCTATATTATTTTATTTCCCAGTTGGGGTATATTATGTGTAAAATGGATCAAGTCACAGGCATTCAGCTTCTTACATGTGTCCACTTACAATAATGACACCTTGTAAAAATTGATTATAAAATGGACCTTTCTAACTAGGTGTCTGGCTGGCTGAAAAGGTCTCTATATGTGTTTACCTACCTAATTTGATCAGCTTTGAATAGACTTTAGTTTCTCGAAAAATACACTGAAAATTCAGGCCTGTCTTTGGAGGAGTTGTAGCTAATCTATGTAAATATATGACCATTTTTATCACTGTCTTCCTCTCTCCCTTTTGTTCTATACACATTCCATCGTGTTTCAAATGGGATTGTAATCTCTTTGGAACAAAAGCCATCTATTCCTGTGTATTTATACAGTGTTTATCACAGTGAGACCTCAGTGCTGATCAGTCCTTTGGGTGCTACCGAAGCACAAATAATAATAACACCTGAAACTGCATTCAGCACCGGGTTAATGCATTTATGTCTCATCTCTGAAAATCAGGCTTCCTTGAGTTTGTCACTGGAAGGGAAAACCTTTTTTTCTGATAATGGGGCATTTTAAAACAGAAAATCACTTGAGAGTGGCCCTTGTCAGTGGCCCTCTAAGGTGACACTCTATTACTAGAGTTTTACATTATGGTATCCTTTTAATTTAAGTGTGTGCTCCATTGCTTTTTGTCGAATTGAAGGACAAATATTATGACTGATGTATTTTGCTGATTTCCTTTATTAACAGTTAGCTTTCTTGCAGAAATCTAAATTAAACTAATTTTCAGTACAAGTCTACTGATGTCATGACATTGGCTCTAGTATGAGTTCAGGGATAATTTTCATTTTTAGTGATGAGATCTAATTGAAAAATAACCATATGGAAAATTCTGGCATATGGTGCCTATAAAGATATAAGCAGTAAAGTAGATACTGTGTTTTACTGGGTCTACAAATACATTCTAGTGCATAAGGTATTAAGCAATGAAAGCTCCTTCTTAAAAGGTTGGTTTTAAAGTGAAGCATAGTTTACAAATACTTTCTGCATAAACCCACACATTTCCTATATAGTTTTTCCATAGATTTGATGCATTCACTGCTAGACTATCCATGTGCATTGTAATAAGTAGACCGGATAACAATGTAATTTTATGAGAAAACTCGATGCAACCATAAATTCCCATGGACCTCCCACGGCACTTACAGGACATTTGAAAAATTATCTGCTCCTCTTATTAATTTCTTGTAGCCATGAAATTTACATTTAAGAATCAAAGAAACTGAGTCCAGGTTACTGTCAGAAAGGCTTTATTTCTGAGTAGCTAACATGGCTTATGGGCTCTGGGCTGCATGAAGGCAAGGCAGTGCCTTAGATGTATAAGATGGGCACTGAGCCCCCTGTTCCCATGGGGGTGGGTCCATCTCCTTCCTAGAAAGGCAAGGGCAGAAAAGCCTTCTTCCATCTAACAGCAGGAAGCACAGCAACAGTATTCACCTTTTGCCAGCTACAGAAACAGGCTCAACAGCTGGTGAGAATCTTAGTACTTACCTAGTAACTGGGGTGTTTCTGTCTGGGTGAGTGGCATGAGCCCATTGCACTCTTCTGTCCTCTGCTTGGGGTTTTTTAGTAGAGCCCATAGGTCAGTGGATTTGGATGTCAACCCCCAAGGAAATAACAGGTCAGTTCACTCTTCCCTGTACTACTAGTACAGGGTCTTCCAGTGTCTCAAGCAGACATCACAGCATCAGTTACTTACACTCACTCCATGTTTTCAAGCTTTTTTTGAAACAGCAAGAAACTCACAGGTTTTAAGTGAAAACTGAAGTTGAGTTGGAACTGCAGCACTCAAAGAGCTGGGATGTTAGACACAGTTCATTCCAGCCCAGCATGTGCTCTGCTCCCCTTCATGCTGGCACTGACAGCTCACTCCTGCCCTTGGTAAATCAGCAGAGAGAAACAAGAGTAATATTTCAGTCTTTTAAACTTTTTCAAAGCCTGACTTGGTGCTCCCTGCCTAACCAATATTCTTTCCTTTAGAGCCAAGAGGGCTTCTCCTTCAGTGCCCTGGATCCCTTGGATGCCTAGGGAGCACATTTCACTGCTGGATCTGTTACTATAATGGGCTGAACCGTCACCTTGGAACCAAACGCTCCTGAACTCTTCTGAGGAGGAGGAGGAGGAGAAGGAGGAAGGGGTGGGGAAGGGGGCTGGTCAGAACTCCAGGCTGAATGTTTGCGTTTGATCCTTTCTCTGAGCTCACTGTGCTTTTTGATGCTGCTTGCACTGTTTGCAGCACTGGGAAGCAATGCAGGGAGGGGGCTTACATGGAGGATGGTCTCCCCTTATTCACAGCAAATAAAGTAAAGCCATCAAGCATGCCCAGGGAGGGAGGGAAATGTCACCAGCCTGTCAATCCTCTAGTTTCTTTTTCCCAGTCTCCCTCTCCATGTGAGTGAGTCAGTGAGTGCTGAAGGGGAGACACACACTCTGCCTTTGAATTAGCCAACCGGCTGACCAGGAGTTACCCTCCCCCCCGTCCCCTCCCTCCCCTCCCAGGCTCTGGCACTTGGGAGGCTGCTGGCTGGCAGCCCTTACGCACTCTCCCCCCTCCCTTCCCTGCCTCCTTCTCTGTACTGCAGTCCCCCTGGCCATACAGCACTGATCCAACCAGCGGAGAGCAGGGCAGCCCAATTCCTAGTGCCTGCAGGCAGCAGCAGCCCAGAGCCCCCTGGCCCCAGCCAGCTTGGACAGCCAGCACCTCTCCCATCACCCAGACAGAATGACAGCAGTCAGTTAACAAGGTCAGCCTCTCAACCAACTTCTTCATCCTAACCAGTGGACACTCATTGCAGGACCTGGCTCTGAAAGGGGACACTTCAAGTTGTGACAATCTGCTTTTTGGGTTTTTTTTTTTCTTTAAGAAAAGAGACCAGACCTCTGAACTGCTTTGTGCTGATCTGTGTGACCCCAAGCTCTGATGGAGATGCTTCATGTTCAAAGGGATAGCCTCTCTCCAGTGGGTTTGAAGGGCTGGGAACCAAAGTTGCCCTTCTTTCTTCAGCTCTCTTCTTAACCAGTAGTTGCTGCCAGTCTTGCTTAAGGAGAAGCAGGATCTGCTTGGAGAAGGATCATGCACCTTGGGCTTTGTTGTGGAAAACCTGGTTACCTGGTAAGTAGATGCTGCCATAGGAACTTTGCTTGCAGGCTCTCCAGGAGGAAAATTGGACCCAGCACCAAATCCAGCCAGAAATGCCATTATGGCAGCAGCTGCAGCAGCCCTGTGGAGTCTCAACTACTTTATGTACACGCTTTTCCCCCCTTCTTCAGAAGAAGTGTATTTAAGAGAATGTACTTTTCTTATCAGCTGAGAGGTGGTCAGAGCATAGGTTTCCACAAGGAATCTGAAGCGCTGCCCATGGCAGAACGTATGTACAGACGTAAAAAGAGGAGTAAAGGGGCTGTGGCTTGAGTCTTTCAGCAGAGGGGAGGGAGGGAGGAAGGACAGATCTAGTTGCTGGAGGAGGCGAAGGGTTAATTGTCAAGAGATCAGGCACATGAGAGCTTGCAGGCAGAGCAGAGCCTTAGTCAACTAGTAACTAGTGTCAACTTTAGACCCGAGGAGAGAAGTCTTAAGAAGCGAGTGAATGAATGACGTAAGTAATGCAGTCTCAGGTCTGCTGGGATGCAGCTCCGTGCCTTTATGAGTAGTTGGGAGAGAGGCTTGCAGCTTCCCACGCCTGTGTGCTCTGTATCTTTCTTTCATGGGCTGGAAAGCCTGGTGGGGCATTTGTGCCTACCTGCCCAGCAGTATCTGATGCTGGAGACCCTTCAGCCTAGGAGGCTGGTCAGCTCTCCAGCCAGCAGGCACTTGGGAATGCCAATGCTTGGCTGATGTCTACTCTGGTTCTTCTCACTGGGAGGGACTTGGGACTGGTTTCTGCTCCACTCCTATACACTGCCGGCTGCTCTGCTGCAAGCTGTTTTGGGAAAGTCACAGAGACGTCCTGCTTTGAGCAGGAGCTTGGACTCGATGAGCATGAGTTTCCTATTTTTTTCATGGTTGATTTTAAGTTGAAATTCAGCTTCCCATGTTGTTTATTAAAAAAAACAAAAACACCCCCCCCCCCGAAGAAAATGGGCGCTCTGCTGCAAGCTGTCTTGGGGAAGTCATAGAGAAGTCCTGATCTGAGCAGGGGCTTGGACTGGATGGGCGCCTTCCTGCCCTAACAGGACTCTAGGAGCAAGGTGGGGCTGGAAGGGGCCTCATCTACTGCAACTCCCTGCAGCTAACCCCGAGCCATCTTTTTTTTAAAAAAAATGATTGATTTGAAGTTGAAATCCAGGTTTCCAGGTCGTTTATGAAAAAAAGAAGAAAAAGGAAGAAAACGATCTGGCCGCGAAGCGACTTGGAAGTCACTCCCTGCACCGCCAGGTCTGCTCTGGAGGGAGTAGGGACAAGCCAGTCCCGGACCCACCTGCTGCCCCCGGGGGGATTTGTCATGGCCCGGGTGATTCACCCAGAGAGGTGCCGGGGGAGGAAATGATGCTGCTCCGTGGGAGAGGATGACCGGGAGGCCGCTTCCTTCGCGTCTGCTTGGCCCCTCGCTGGGGTGCCACTCTCGGCGGGGGGGCGGACGGCACCAGGGCCGTCTCCCCTCGCAGGGGAGCGGGGATTTCCTCCCATGCCCTGAGGGACGGGGCACGTTTCTCCGCCTGCCCCGCTGCAGCGCCGGACTCCGGCAGCCCCCAAGGCAGAGGCCGGGGCGGCGCTAGGGGGCGGCGGAGGAAGGTGCCGGCAGCACCCGCCGCCGCCTCCTCCCCTCAGCCTGGCGGGGCTCCCCCGGCCGCAGCCGGCCTGCCCCGGGAGCCGCGCTCCACGGCTGGAGGCAGCCGGGCCGCCTGCAGGCACCAGCCGTTTGCCAACGTCGCCGCTGGAGGAGCGTGGGCCGGCAGGTGCCACGGCGAGGAGCCGCCTCCAGCTGCAGCGGGGCAGGCTGAGGCTGGATGTCAGGCACCGCTCTCACGAGGAGGGCGGGAAAGCACATGACCAGGTCCCCCAGAGACTGCGCGAGTCTCGGTCCTTGGAGGGTTTGCTGACCCGGGTAGACCAAGCCTTGGGTGGGATGATCTACTTGGGGACGGTCCTGCTCGGAGCCCTCCAAAAGCCCTTGCAGCCCTCACTGCCTATGTTGCAAAACCCCTGTCCCCTCCACCGAGATGCTTCTTCTGCACTGCAGGCACACCAAGGGCCTTAAAACCTTTCCCCTTTCCAACGAACATCCCCCCGCTTTCTTTTGCAGTCCAAAAGTGTCACACCAGAAATAAAACAAAATAAATAAAGCCACAGGTAAGGAGTCATTTAAGGCTCAGCCAAGTGACAGCTTAATCTGCAAGCCATTAGGCATCCTGGGGAATTTCTTTCCCTTAAAACTTTTCTAGCTGGTCATTTGTCTGCCGAGGTTTGGCTGGATGTGTGTGTTCGGTTCTGCTCCGAGCAGCCAAGAAAGTTTCTGGCCCTTGTTAAAGGCATTAACCCTCTAATGACAATGTTTTGGGAAAGAGAAGGAAAAGTGGTAGATCTGGGTATAGATCCCACTTGGCATGTCTTTGATACAGGCAGACAAGCTTCTTTGGGTGAATCTGATATCTTTTATTACACCAAGTTAAATAGCTGGAAATTTTTTTCTTAGCAAGCTTTCGGGTTTAGACACCCTTTGTCAGGCTGAGGAAGCCTCTGCTGTTGGTGTGTTGATTAGTAAAGCGGCTGGTATGCATGCCAGGTACACCCCTGATTTCCTTGGTACGACATTTGCTAGCATCACTTTATCCCTGGCACAGCTCTGTGAATGACAGCGATGGTGGGAGCATGAGTGTAGATTAAAAGTAGTACCTGCAGTTCTATCTCCATGCCATTTACGCCTGTTTTGAACAAGTCTGGATAACCTAGTGGTAAAACCATTGGCAGCTCTATATGTCCTATCTACAGGGGAGCTAATGCTAGGGAAGAAGTGTAAACCTCTAATGGAAGAAGATCAATGGGAGTGTACATGAGAGTAAAGATAACTCACATTAGTAAGTTTGCAGGCGGTATTTGGTAGTTTCTGAAAAAAAAGCCTTCTGCTAGCTCCCCTTGTGTTTGAAAATAGGTGTCCACTAACAAATGCTGTATCTAACTTGATGAGTACGGTTTTCAAATATATTTGCAGTTAGCGCAGTGTGTGCTCTAATAAGAATGGGACTTTACAGCATATTACATTCTGTGAGCTTGTGTACTTTCTGAAGCCATTTGTTTTATTTTGTTGCAACAATTGCTTAGATGGAGGTCAAAGGTTAAGAGGCTGGATTTTGTTCTGAAGTACAATAGTTTCAGGAATAGACTGAGGTTATTTCAGTTTCATACTGAAGTCCTCTGAGCATTTTAAAATGTTTTGTACTAAATGTGCATGGCTGACATGTCACTTGTAATGAGTTAAGTTTCAGCTGTTAAAGAAGGGCAAATGTGTATTTCTGTCTTTTATAGTGAGTGGCTTTGCTGTCACTGTTTCAGCTCTGCTTTTGATAGCTGCCTCCTACTTTGTGCTTACTGTAATGCCTAACACTAGGGCTACTGCACTGTTGCTAATAAAGACAGAGAGCTGTTAGGGATTCTTGGTACCCTGGGAATGGTAAACATTCCTGAACCCTTCCACAATGATGTGCACTGATGCAACTTCACTCTTGGTTGTAGTTGCTGCAGTACTAGTGACCCTCTTTTGCTGTAGCACCTAGAACAGTGGGGTCTGGTCTATGAATAAAGTTCCTGGGCACTACAATAAATCAGGTAATAACAAATAAAATATTTATTATTTTTCACTTGAGAATCAGTCAGGATCTACATCACATAATCTCACAGAATGCTTTAGAGGGCTTCTGTTTGCTCTTTATCCTTCTTTTCCATCATTGGTAGGTTGAGATATGCCAGTGAGTGAATGAGCGAGTAATAAACATCCTGGGTACCACAGTTTTTTAGGGATTCTCTTCTTGAATGTCTGTCTGGACCTAAAGGAGTGATAACGTTAGGCCACAATCATTTTAGAATTCTGCCTTCATGCTGAAGGGCTGAGGATTAAAGAAAGCATAGTTACTATTTTTGGGGTACAAACAGATGTTCATGCAGGTTAGATAGAGATTAGATCACATTAAAATACCCCCCTATCCTCCCAACCCCCTTGCAGACCTCTTTTGCCCGCCCCCCCGCAAGCCCTCTTCTGAGCCTGCTTGCCCCCAAATCCCCCAAGTTCCCACTAACTCCCCTATTCTGACTTATCTTAGATTGGGTAGCCATTTTGATGTGATCTTTGTTCCCGTTAACCTCCCCAAATGTCTGTACAGTTGAATAAAACATTGACCACTAGTGAGATACTTACCTTCTGAGTAACGCATGGGATCTGAGGCTGGGAAACTCCACAAACTATGAATAGAAAACATATATTTTTAGCCTGGTTTTCTTGCATTGGAACTTATATTTTGAGGTTCCTAAATTGAAACGCCTAAAGTTTAACTTTTCTTTTTCTGTTGGATTTCTATCTGGATTCCTTTTCACTGAAGCACCTTAATAGTACCATTGCATGATCCTTGAACTGTGTTCAGATGACCATATAAAGGGCCTGATTCCAATTTTGAATATGTCTGACCTCCTCCTATATTAAGGAAAAGACTCTCTTGTGCCTGTGTTAGCCCTGCATCCTGACTGTACAGTATCCCTGACACAGATGCAGCAGGAGCCTGGAACTGCTGACCTGTCAGTGGATTGTGATATTGAATAACCCAACAATGCATTTAGTGGCTGTCCAGTCTCTCCGCCTTCTTGGTCTGAGTCCATAATTTCACCCAAGATAACTCATTTGGCCATCAGGCTAGAGATAATGTCACAGGAGGCAGCATCTTCTCAACATTTCAGTTGGAGTAGTGTTAAGTATGGCTTCTTTTCTGATTGATGACTTTGAAAGACCGAAGGGAGCTGTATTACCTGAAGATAGCTTATGGATGAACAATTCCAAAATAAAATGACCAGAAAACAAGCGAAGAGAAATCTTGCAAATCAAAGAAAATAAACTAAGAAAAATATAGGCCAGCCATCAGGACATTTTTGTCCTAACAGGGGTACTGACTTTACTCAAACAACTATGA